AAATAAACTACTACTTGCTACTTGTACTACTGTATTATTCCTGCTTTGCGGGATTTTTCACTTATCGTGGGGCGTCAGGGTACGGATCCCCCGCAATAAACAAAAGACTACTGTACACAATTTTTGGATAAAAATATTATAAATTCATGTGTCCCCAGGTTGCACCAAAAGTGCTACAGCTAGCTGCTGCTATCATTTGTATTTGCAAATAACCACATAACTATTTTAACTGTATGTAAAATTGACTGCTGTGTAAACATTTATAAACTTGTGGCTCAGTTGGAAGAACTGTTGCTTTTCAGCGAGAAGGTCGCCGGTTCAAATCCCGGCTTAGGAATGCAACAGCTAAAACCCATGTCTCCACCTTTCTGGGTGGAGTTTGCATGTTCTCTCCATGCTGCGTGGATTTTCTCCAGGTACTCTGGTTTCCTCCCACAGACCAAAAACATGCATGTTAGGCTGATTGGTAACTCTAAATTACTGTGTGAGTGAGAGAATGGTTGTTTGTCTCTATGTGTCCCTGTGATGGACTTGAGACCTGTCCAGGGTGTCCCCTGCTCAATATGGGCACAGTGACCTTCGTGACCTGGAAATGAAGAAGCAGGTAAAGATGATGGATGAATGTTAGAATGACTGCCATGAGATTTTGGAAGCTGGAGCTGGTTTAAGACAACAGCAAACCACCGTGATATTGACATGGCTCAAACCAGCCATTAGCTCATCATTTTTGTCAAAATAAAACAGTTTTATTTTTAGTTTTTTTGCTAAACTGAGTTTCAAAAAAAGTTATATAAGTAAGTTAAAAATGTTTAAACTCTTTATGCATAACCCTCTTTTCAAAATGATCAAAATAGAACTTGAAACCTTAATGTTCTTTTGTGGATCAGCAGCAAACTATAAACTTCTACAAAGCTAAATTTCTTCTGTTTTGGAAAGTTTTTTTACTCCTATATGAAAAAACTGCAGAGGGATTTTTTCTTTTGTAGCAAAGGAAGAGAGCCGCAGATGTGATATCATTTTGCAATAATGACTCAGTAATGACTCAATAATGACCATGCAGGAGTTACACACAAACAAAATAAAAATAATGTTCTCACCAACTTCCACCAGAATGATTTTAGGATCATTTTGCGTCAAAGCATCATAAAGGCCAACTTCTTGCTCATACAAGAGCTGAGTTTCACATAAAGACCTTGTTCCCTTTGCTTTGCCATCAGGGGACAAGATGATTATCATAGTGTGGCATTGGTGCAGGGCAGCAGAGATGGCATCATGAATAGCTGTAGGAAATAAAGATGACAAACAGAATCTTTGTGAATAATGAGAAATACCCAAACGCTGCAAAATGGAAACAACCTTTTGAAAAGCACAATGGGTAAGTTTTTGACTCCTCTATACAGTCATTTGGTTCACTTATGGATAATTTCTCACAAACATGGGCAGCTGTGGCTGAGTGGTTAGAGCAGTCATCCTCCAATGCAAGAGTTGGGGGTTTGAATATACCAGCAGTCACATGCTGAAGTGTCCCTGGGCAAGACATTGAACCCCTTGTTGATGTGTGTTCCATCGGTTTATGAATGTGATAAAGTGCTGATTGGAATCAGAATCAGAATAAACTTTATTATCATTGCACCGAGATACAACGAGAACATGTACGTACAGTCGTCTGAAAGATGGGCGGAGTGCATGAAGCTGTTACTATGAAAGTGCGGCGCTTTTATTCTTATTCAGAATAATATTTTGCTTAGATGAGAAAAGGAAAGAAAACATGAGGAGAAACGGTATTAAAAAAAGATCTCTCACGCCATGTCCTAGACAGGGCACGATTTGAGGCATCAAAAAAACCTACCACAGCAAAGCAACATAAACAGACGTTATACATTTACATATAGGCGGTGAAAACATAGAATTTTTAAGGGAACGTCATAGCATAGTCCAGAGCCCCCCCTCACAGCCATTGTCCAGGTAAGAGGTGTTAGTTATCATCACCTCGGTTGAGGTTCCGTCACATGTCCATGGCCTTGGGGAAGGGAGGGGTGAGGAGACAGACAAAGCATCTTTGTTTTTTTTTTCCAAAACATGCCTGGAGGAGTTGAGATAAGTCCGCTATCAATGCTACCGTTTTGGGTCAGGCAGAACTCGTGAATTGCTGTTTCTGCCTTTTTTAAAGTCTTGCTGGTATATATTCCTCCGATGGAAACTCCAAACAGCCGAATTGATTCCTTAAAGCCTTAAAGCCGAGCTCACAGCTTCTCCAAGATTATTCCCACCTTCATGTGTGCTGCTAGAGAGTTCACAGTCCTGATAACAGCTGCACCAGCTCTCTGACACAGCTGCACATAATTCAGTCTGAGTGCTGCCGAGCTGCGACACATCCACACAAATTTGTAGACAATCCAGATTTCACCACCAAACAGCAAAAAACCAGTTGTCCTCATGAATCCAATTTGTTTCTGTCTAGGTAAGAGGGTCCTCCTTACCCTGACTCCTGTAGGAGTTGATCAATTTTGTTGAGAGACCAGCTGATCTTTCGAATTAGGAAAGTATGCAGGGAAAAAAAGAGGCTCTTTAAGGGTTCACAGGACGAAAGAGTGCAAGCAGGGAAGTGGGGGGGAGGGGTCTCTTTAGAATGATTTGTTCATTTAGCTTTGTAGAGATCTAGTAGAGTGCTGTATGAATGGGTAAATGAGGGCACAGATTGTAGTGTAAAGTGCTTTGAGTTTCTCAATAAGATAGAAAGGCGCTATATAAGTACAGTATATAAACTGTAAATAAACTGTATATAAACATCACTTTTTTGTGTCTGTTTTTTAAAGTTTGTCATGATAAACACCATAAAGACATTTTAACACTTTATGCCATGAGGTTGAAAATGCAACAACATGACTAAAAAGCATGTTAAAATTTTTTTTAGAATGTATTTGTAAGGATCTGGTATTGTTTTGAACCCAAAAATGCAGGGAGGACTCAAACAACTCAGGTTAAGAGTAAAGAAAAGTATTTAATGACAAAATAAACAAAAGGGCTGACGTGGCAGCAAAAACTTGCATGAATAATAAGAGGTCATGAGGGGAGACAAAAACCAGGACGAAGTGATGGGCATGAAACAAGAGGCAGAAGTCTTCATGAGGAAATGACCAGATACCAGACAACTGAACACACTGACTTAAATACACCAACACTGACAAGGCAAATGACAAACAGCTGGGAGGACAACAGGTGAAGAAACCTGGAACTTAATGAGGGAGTAGTAACTTAGACAGACCACATGGAGGCAAAACACTAGGAAGCGAAAAAAAAGGAACCAAGAGAAGGATAAGCACGAAAATTACAGACAAGAGGATAAATTATGACAGAACAGAAAAGTAAATAAAGACAAGAAGAACACAAAGAAAACAGACAAAGTGTAGACTATGACAGTATGTAGTGCCTCTGTATGTTGTCTCTGGTCATGCTCACCACCTTTGCACCCCCTCCTCTGCAGAATGTCAGTGTTATTATTTGCTCGTATGCAAACCCTATGTGTCATTTTTCACTACTTTTTATTGTCTGTCAAACAGGTCTTACTTGTAAATGAGTCTTTGAGGCACAGTGTGAGTTATCTTTAAATAAAGGTTAAATTAATGAATGAATTTATGTTTTTAATGGATCACTCAGGTATTCTTCTAAATGTTTTGTTTTGGAGCCGGAGCCTTAGCCGGAAATTAAAGCTCTGGATTGGTCCATTTACTAACCAATCCATGGTCATGAGATATGGATCATGACTGAAAGCACAAGATCCTAGATACAAGCGGCTGAAATTAATTTTCTTTGTAAGGTGGCCAGGCTCAGCCTTAGAGATAAGGTGAGGAGCTCCATCATCCAGAAGGAGCTCAGTAGAGCCGTAGCTGTTTCACATCAAAATGGGTCAGTTGAGGTGATTCAAAGACCTGGTTAAGCTACTTCCTGAACATGGACACCCCAATTACATATCTGTTGCTGGACAGTGCTGCAAAGGAGACGAGGACTTTCCTGCTGTACCTGTTAATATATGAGGATCTGTGTCCCCTTGTGTGTGTCGTCTTCTTGTGTTTATTCCTGCTCCTCAGTTATTTTTACCTCTTGTACAGGTGCTGGTCATAAAATTAGACTATCATGAAAAAATTAACTTATTTCAGTAATTTCATTCAAAAAGTGAAACTTGTATATTATACTCATTCAGTACTGTCTTCATCTCAGAGTTTAACACCCCTCCAGCCCTCGTCTAACCGATAATTGGACCCCCCTAGACTTTTGAGTATTACCCGACGTGAGAAGGACTAGAACTCCCATCACTCCTCCACTTCTGGTCCCAGTACGTCATTAGGTGAGCGTCACACGTACAAGCCACCAACTTTCTACTACAAATCCCAGACACCCGACACTTTTGGGTTTAAGAACCCTCGTTCGGTTTCACCATATCCATCTGCCTTGTCACCTGATCCCAAGCCCATGCAGGTGAATGACACTCGTCTCTCTCCTGAGGAGAGACTGAGACGAATGAATTCTAATTCCTAGATTTATTGTGGAAATCCAGACCATTTCCTCGCTAAATGTCTGCTGCGGGGAAACTAAAATGCCCACCAGTAAAAAGGGAGATACTGGTGGGTACTTCCACTCTTTCTCCCCCAGCCCAACTCAAGTTATCCACTATCTTGCAGTTTGGTCAAAAACGCCTGCCTGTTTCCGCCTTGATTGATTCTGGCACTGAGCAAAATTTATCAGTTCTGCCCTGGTAAACAAATATTCTCTCCCTATCCAGGTGGTCCCCCCCCCCCCCCCCCCCCCAGTGTCCGTCTCCAGTATTACTGGTGACACTTTAGCTCAGCTTCATTTCAAAACCACGGATATCCATCTCCTTATTTCTGGTAACCATCATGAAACATCTAGTTTCTTCGTGTTCGACTCCTCTAGACCCCAATTGATTCTTGGCTACCCTTGGCTTAAAGAACACAACCCAAACATTAATTGGGAGCTAGGTCATATGGAGGGCTGGAGTAATAAATGTCTTAAACATTGTCTCCAGTCGGCCATCTCTTCTCATTCTAGTCCTGAGCGCCCCGTTGAGGCGATAGATCTTTCAAACGTTCCATCTGTTTATAAGGATCTCGCTTCTGTTTTTAGTAAAACAAGAGCCTTATCCCTTCCTTCTCACAGACCGTATGACTGCGCCATTGACTTGTTGCAGGGCGCTCCTCTCCCCACTAGTCAGCTCTACAACCTCTCTGGGCCAGAGAGGGAGAGTATGACAAAATATATTAATGAGTCTCTAGACTTGGGTATTATACGCCCTTCCACTTCTCCTCTGGGGGCAGGGTTTTTCTTTGTCTCCAAGAAAGACAAAACCCTGAGACCCTATATTGACTATCGTGGTTTAAATAACATCATAGTAAAAAACAAATACCCTTTACCTCTAATCGACTCCCTACAGGAGCAGCTCCAGTCTGCTACTATATTTTCCAAGCTTGATCTTAGGAATGCTCATCATTTGGTTCGTATAAGAGAAGGTGACGAGTGGAAAACAGCCTTTAGGACACCACTCAGTCACTTAGAGTATCCAGTTATGCCCTTTGGATTAACCCATGCTTCAGCTGTCTTCCAAGCCCTTGTTAACAACGTACTGAGAGACTTTATTGGGGACTTTGTGTTTGTTTACCTCAATGACATACTCATCTACTACTCTAATGAGGCCAAACACGCCAGACATTTTCGTACTGTTCCTAGGCCTGTATGAGAATAAGCTGTTTGTTAAAGGCAAAAAATGTGAGTTTCACGTGCCCACTGTCTCCTTTTTGGGTTTATTTTTGAAAAGGGCCGTTGCAGAACTGACCCTGAAAAGACCCAGGCTGTGGGGGATTGGCCAGTTCCTGAGACCAGGAAACGATTACAACGTTTTCTGGGCTTTGCCAATTTCTACAGGTGTTTTATTAAGGACTACAGCCGTGTGGCAGCACCTCTGTCTCAGCTCAACTCTACTTCTAGAGTTTTCAAGTGGAACCCTGAGGCCGACCTCGCGTTTTCTAAACTTAAAAGACTGTTCTCTTCCACCCCGATCCTCTGTCACCCTGATCCTAGGCTACAATTCATCCTGGAAGTGGACGCCTCCGACACTGGAGTGGGGGCGGTCCTGTCTCAACGGTCACCCGACGATAATAAGGTACCCATGCGCCTTTTTCTCACGCCATCTTTCGCAGGCCAAGAGAAATTATGATGTGGACAACAGAGAACTACTAGTGGTTAAACAGGCCCTGGAGGAGTGGCGTCACTGGCTGGAAGGCGCCGAGACACCACTTCTGATCGGGACCGATCACAAGAACTTGACCTATCTTCGGGACGCCAAATGCCTCACTCCCAGGCAAGCACGTTGGTCATTATTCTTCAACCGCTTTAACTATTCCCTCACTTTCAGGCCCGGATCTAAGAACATGAAACCCGACGCTCTACCCCGTCAGTTTCTCCTCCTGATGTTGTTGAACAGGAGGACAGCATCATCCCGGCTTCTTGCATTGTGGGAGCACTCACTTGGCCCATCAAAAAGGAGGTTCGAGAGGCTCACAAGGACAAACCCGACCCTGGTTCAGGTCCACCAGGCACTCTCTTCGTTCTTTCATCTATGAGGTCTAAGGTACTGGACTGGCTACACTCAAATAGATTGTCTTGTCACCTTGGCACTTCTCATATGCTTTCCCTAGCTAAGAACCACTTCTGGTGGCCCACTCTCTTCTCGGATGTCAAGTCCTTCGTCGCAGCTTGTTCCACGTGTGCCAGGTTCAAGACCAGTAACCAACCTCCTCCTGGCCTCCTTCTTCCCTTACCCACACCCAGCCGTCCATGGTCCCACATACCGGTGGACTTTGTCACAGGTCTACCCCCTTCGGACGGTACCTCCGTAATCCTCACTGTCATTGACAGATTCTCCAAGGCGGCACCTTTTATCCCCCTCCCTAAACTCCCCTCCACCTTCGAGACAGCTCTTACCCTTATCCAATACGTATTCAGAATCCATGGTATCCCCTATGATGTGGTCTCAGATCGGGGACCACAATTTATTTCTCAAGTTTGGCGTTGTTTCTGTAAGACATTGGGGGCTTCATTCAGCCTTACTTCAGGGTACCACCCCCAGTCTAATGGCCAGACTGAAAAAGCTAACCAGGAGCTCAAGGTCACACTCTGATGCGTGGTGGAGAGGAACCCATCTGCCTGGAGCAAACACCTGGTCTAGGTCGAGTATGCCCATAACTCCCATAAGTCGGCAGCAACAGGTATGTCCCCGTTTGAGGCCTCCCTCGGTTATCTTCTCCCCCTTGTTTCCCAGCCAGGAGAATGACACCACGGTGCTATCAGTACAACACCACTTCAGTTGCTGCCGCCATGTTTGGCATCAAACCAAGGCTGCCCTGCTTCGCACTGCGGCTCAAACAAAGAAGTACGCCAAACACCACCGATCTTCCGCACCCTCTTACCAAGTAGGCCAAAATGTTTGGCTTTCTATCCATAATATTTCCTTGAAAGACGCTCCTAGGAAACTGGCCCCCCGCTTCATTGTTTTTTTCCTAGTTCTCAAGATCATCAACCCCTCGGCAGTCAAACTTCAGCTCCCTGTGTCCCTTAAGATCCACCCCACCTTCCACATCTCACAAATTAAACCTGTTGCCATCAGTCCTCTGTGCCCACCCTCCAACCTCCCTCCCCCTGCCTGACTGATGGGCAACCACCCTGCCTTTACTGTAAGGTCAATTCTGGACATCCGCCATCAGGGCAGGGGCTTCCAATACCTGGTTGATTGGGAGAGTTACGGGCCAAAGGAACGTTCCTGGATTTTCCGTTCCTTCATCCTGGACCCGAGCCTCATCTCAACCTTCTTCAGGCTGCACCCTGAAAAACGCCTCAGGTCGCCAAGAGGCAATTTTTGGGGGGGAGGGGCTAGTTGCAGCCCTAATACTAATTTCACTTTTAGAATGGAATTACTGAAATAAATCAACCTTTTCATGATATTCTAATTTTATGACCAGCACATGTAAACAGTCCTTACCTTCATCATCTGGTGTCAGTTCCCAGGTGTTGTCATTTGTATGTCATCAACATCCCTATTTAAATCTGCGTCTCTGTGTTCTTCGTTGTCTGGACATTACCCTGTCTTGCTCCATGTTCCTGTCTTGTTTTAGTTAACAAATCACTTGTTTTGTAAATCTCCGAGTCTCCGTGGCATGCCTACATTTGGGTTCGACTTTAAAGCAACACAACACAACAAATCTCTGCTACCCAACCTCAGATAAACAGAAAAAAAGGATGGATGGATGCTACGCTTTAAGAAATATCACATGTTCAGTGTTTTTAATTAATTTATTTTTTCTGTTGTATCTTTGTTTAACCTCTTATTTTATTCTCCAGAATGTGAAATCAATGTAAAGTTTCATATTTGTGTGTCATATGTTTCTGTTCATGCATATTTTTCTTTTTCCATTGTCTGCTCATGTTCATTCTGTTTTCTCTTTCCCTCCCAGGCTCTGATCGAAGTGGCAGCTTCAATTTCTCCTCCCCCATTTTTTTCCTTCTTCCTGCTCTGCTCTCTGTCTGTCTGAAGCACCTGGGTCTCATCTCCCGAACATAAATTAAGAAGATTATGGATTTGGTAATGTGGGCATTCAACACTATTGATAAGATTTTTTCATCAAAGCGACAAGGTCCTGGGGAACCGGCATGTCCAGCTGAGACTCACGCTGTGGGGTACGTCATGGATTCATGGGGAGTGTGGCAATCGATGTGCATTACAGTACTGTCTCAAGAAGATGTTGAAGACGTTTACATATTTGGACTTATGATAGCAGGGACTCTGCTTTTTGGCATCGGCGGGGCTCTGTTTTATCGACTTTTGAAGAAGACAGCTGCTGGCTGAAAACAACATCCTCAGAAACTGTGGCTGATCTGAAAAAAAGCTCATGGACAAATCTCAACACCTCAATGTCAAATGCAAATGTAATCATGTTTTAATTGTGCTTGCTGGTAGAGTTTTTTGATGTCTCAAATCGTGTCCTGATAAGATGTGAAAGGTCTCTTTTTTGGTAATACCACTATCTACCCTCATGTTTCTCCCCCTTTTCCTATCTAAGATTATTATCTGATAAGGATAAAATGGCCGCGCTCTCCTGTAGTTGCAGCTTCGTGCACTCCGCCCATCTTTCGGACAACTGTACGTACATATTCGCGTTGTACCTCGGTGCAATTCCAATAAAGTTTATTCTGATTCTGATTCTGATTATTGTTCCCTTTCAGTCCAGCTTTAAATGTGTGCCTGTAAGTTACTGGCCTTCTCCAGGGCAACCATCTCGTCCTTGGATGTACAGGCTGAAACCATGTTTCTTCTCAAGCTCTTCAGGCAGGATCTGAAGGGCAAACTTTGCCGTTTCGGTCAGTTGGCCAGTGTTTGACTGGACGACGCTCACATACGCATCGTAAAGCTTTCCATGTGAAACTGTTAAAACACAAAAACATTGTTTGAGCTGATTCCAAAATTTGCTTGAAGAACACAATATTTATCAATGATTGTGTTGTAAAACAAACAGAACATTACAGAAATAACACTCGCCTTGTGGTTTAGAAAAATGTCTTGTCAGTTTCCTGTGTGCTAGGACCAGGTCGACTTTAAAGAAGAAAAAGGTGGCCATAAGCAGAATGAAGATGGAAGCAGTGACACAGAGAGTGACGATCACGTGGAAGTCAAAGGGGTCGGCTGAGGAAAAAAATGTAAACGGTCAAACCTCAGTAAACAAAAGTAAACAAGCTCTGAGAGGAGACTTTCAAGAAAAAAAGTTTTCTTGTGTAAATCCCCCTATTAAGCAAACAACTCTTGCTTTTACCTTCTTTCAACCTGGCCAAACCAAACTTTGCTTCTACTGGGCTCCAGACATTGCAATGAATGGGGACATTCAGGAACTGATGCCGAACTATGGAGATGGACAGATTGGACTGACCATACACTTTCCCTCTGTTGTGAATACTAACAGAAAGAAAAAAAAGTCCATCAATCATTCAGCCAATGGAGCAAGAATAGGAACATGTATGTTTACACTTCTTTTTTTATCATACTGTTTGTTCTTCAAGCAGTTTAATGGATTTACTTCTTGTCCAACAAATGAGGGCCACTTTGGGGAATGGGTTAGTAGTTTATATTCTGAATCTTTTTATCCTGTTTTGTTTGCAGACCCAGCTACATCAACAGATAAACCCCAGCACCACTACAGGATGAAGAAACTCACAATCTCCAGGACTCATTGAGCTCCTTGTAGGCGTCGGTTAACACCCCATCAATAGTCCAGAACATGATAATCTCTTCACTCTCACTGAAGCCTGTGTAGGCCAAACACTGCAACTCTGCTCGCTTACCTGGAGAAATCAGACAGATGTCACGTTTAACAACAAAGTTGGCTAGAACAACTAAAAACACTTTAAGGAGAAACTAAGGGAGCTAAAAGAAAATTAAGGATTCTCAAAATCATTTGCAGCATACAATGGGTATCAAACATATTCACACCAATGGTATTTCTATATTTAGTTGCCCTACAACCTGGAATGTTGTTTTCAATTTGATTTTATGCAGTGGACCTTTGAAATACATTACAAATAATAAAGTAGTGTGACCAAACTGTATTACTTGATCTGTTTCCTGATAACCTGATGCATGCTCAATAATCCAGGTAGAAAAATCCAAAAAAGTTCAATCTGATCCTCTGGACATTCAAAAAAAACAAAAAAAAAAGCAAAAAAAATATAGAAGAAACGTTTCGTCTCTCATCCGAGAGACTTCCTCAGTCTGAGGTGCTGTATTCAGCTCAGTCTTTTAAATAGCACCTTCTCAGAGTGAATCAACCAGTTTGCTGCTGACAACCAAAACCAGCTGATCACATGCTCAAGAAGGACCATCAGCCTAACAATGGATCATTAGCACACTGATGGCTGTTTACTACTCACAGAGGGCTGAGTGATACCAGCAATCACAGCATTGTAAGAGGGGGACAGTTGAACCCGGAGGCCTCCACCCCTGTTTAATGATGGACGATTTCTTTTCACAAAGATGGCCTCCTTTACTCCTCTCTCAAACCATCGTTCCTCTCTGTCCAGGATGTGAACATCTTCATCCCTGAAAGAGTGACCGCTGGCCTGGAGATGAGTGTAGACCGCAGAGTCCTGGCCTGATGATGTTGATCTTCTGTGCTGGTCCATCCTTTTGGCCAGTGGCTGTTTAGTTTCCCCGAT